CCAACAGGACGGAACGTTAATACAACAAGTTACCGTGATCAGTTCCACAGGATGGAACGTTAATACAACATGCTACCATGATCAGTTCCACAGGATGGAACGTTAATACAACATGTTACCATGATCAGTTCCACAGGATGGAACGTTAATACAACATGTTACCATGATCTGTCCAACAGGATGGAATGTTAATACAACATGTTACCGTGATCAGTTCCACAGGATGGAACGTTAATACAACATGCTACCACGATCTGTCCAACAGGATGGAACGTTAATACATGATCTGTCCAACAGGATGGTACGTTAATACATGATCTGTCCAACAGGATGGTACGTTAATACATGATCTGTCCAACAGGATGGTACGTTAATACACGATACCGTGATCTGTCCTATGATACCGTGAGCTGTCCTATGGAATCTAATGTTAGAAATCCAGATTTCACTGTTCGATTTGAAAAACTTATGATCCCCCCGGTGAGTCAGTAGTAAGCTTACGGACTTACGTCGCTAAAATCCGGGGTTCGATTTCCCGCGGTGGACAGAACGCAGATGACCCATTGTGTAGCTTTGCGATAAAATAATAAAAAAAAAGATTTGTCAATCACTAAATAAAATCTGGAAAAAAGAAGTATTTAATTTAAGCAAAATAAAACCATTGTAATATTTCTATTTTCTACATGAAGCAACCGAAAATTAATGAAAACGCACATCAAATATGATGCCTAAGACAATATACTGAAACCAGTGAGCCATAGCAACCTTGCTAAGCCTAATTTATTGTAGGCGGCCTAACATTACCGAAACGACAGAAATATAGAAGTTATACCGATTCTTAGCTAACTGATTTTAATTAGTTAAACGAACACTGCTTGAACAATAATTAGGTAAACAGTTTAAATAACACTTGTCACAAACGGTTCTTGTTTAAACAATAATTTGTTTGTTTGAAGTTAAGCGCAAAGCTACACAAATGGCTATCTGTGCTCGGCCCACCACGGTATCGAATCCCGGTTTCTAGAGTTGTAAGTCCACAGACATGCCGCTGTGCCACTGGAGGGCTAAACAATAATTAGGTAAGTAGTTACAATAAGTGCGTATGTCTGCGGACTTACAACGCTAGAAACCGGGATTCGATACCAGTAGTGGGCAGAGCACAGATAGCCCATTGTGTAGCTTTGTGCTTAACTTCAAACAAACAATGCATTCTATAAAATAAATTATTACATACGAACACCCCTAATAAAAGAGTATAAAACACTTAAATCTATATAAAATTCACGTCCCTTAATATAAAAAGTACGTACGTGTGAAATTTTTCAGAGAGTTTCTCTGTTCTCCTGTCTTAGATGTAACGTCATTAACGTACACCATTTCTGTTCATTACCTTCACGTTGCTTCTAAGGTTGAATGTACGTAAACACATGTAGTAATATTATAGCTAAAGGCACTCATACACAACATGGTTTGTAAATACGCGTGCATACCGAAAGATCCGGTCTTAAAATCGTGGTACCGATTCGAAATGGTTGCCAGAGGAAACATTCTCTTTACCCCGCACTCCGTAAACGACCAGTAATATTCCACTATACTTCTCAGTTACAATGGGTCTCCTGGCAACAGTGAGACATCAGAATTACCTAAGACGCCGGTTTACCAATTTCAAGACTGTGTGAAAAGAAGGTTAATATTTGAAAGAGGCGTTGGCATTTAAGGCACTATGGTCTGCGCTGGCAAACTAATGATGAAACAGATAGAAAATTTCAATTTACAGCGTACTGAAAGCCTCTAGGTGGGTAGTTATTATTATTATTACAGGTTTATTGTCTAATTATTCGGTAAAAACGGAACATTTACAGTAAACAAGTTTACACACAACAGTGGAAAACTACAGAAGTAACCTAACTAGATTCAATCTCAGTCTACGCAACATACCACACTGAAGAGTACCCGCTAATGGTTGTTTGTTTATATTTCAGAACGAAGCTACACAATGGGCTATCTGGGAAAAATAGCATTAGTAATAATATAAAATGGGGAAAGAACCCCGGGAAAAATAACATTAGTAATAATGTAAAATGGGGAAAGAACCCCGGGAAAAATAACATTAGTAATAATGTAAGATGGGGAAAAGAACCCCGGGAAAACTAGCATTAGTAATAATGTAAAATGGGGAAAGAACCCCGGGAAAAATAGCATCAGTAATAATGTAAGATGAGGAAAGAACCCCGGAAAAATAACATTAGCAATAATGTAAGATGAGGAAAGAACCCCGGAAAAATAGCATTAGTAATAATGCTAAGTGGGGAAAGAACCCCGGAAAATAACATTAGTAATAATGTAAGATGGGGAAAAGAACCCCCCAAAAAATAGCATTAGTAATAATGTAAGATGGGAAAAGAACCACCGAAAAAATAGCATTAGTAATAATGTAAGATGGGAAAAGAACCCCCGAAAAAATAGCATTAGTAATAATGTAAAGTGGGGGAAAATGACAACGTTTCATCCCAATAGGAAGAAAATGCACAAAACTGTATGCTCGTGATAATGACACATTTTCCCAGTTTCAATTATTACAGGAAATCGCGTGTAATTATATATAAAGCAAGATCCTGACAAAGAAAAACAGCAAGAATATATAAAAAACATTATCATTTTCTCATTCACCTGAAATGTTCAATCTTAAATAATTCGGACAGAATACTTAAACTAAACTTTGCTAATTAAGAAAAAAAAAATATTTGTCACAATGTTTTATATCGACATAGCCTCTTTTATAAGTTCAACACCTCGGCTGGTTTGTTTGCCCGTGAAAAGCTCCTTTGTTTGCAGATACTATTTGCGACCTCTCAACTAAAATTTAATCATGTGGGGAAAAATATTATATTGATTATAAACAGTGCACACAATGCTACACTCTTCACTGAACTACACAGAAATTCATATATCATTTTTTTAGTATTTGTATGTATAATATATATGTATATATATAGCTTGACATCCTCAGCCTTTTCGCAAAGAGCGCTCGCTGCTCAAAGTACGAATGACGAGCCACGCGGGAGCATGCACGCGGTAACTGTCAGTGATTTAAAATCTCGCTTTAAGCCTGGTACGAAATGATCATCTTGGCACTGTACACGTCCACGCGATGAAAAGCACGCAATATGTCTCTCGCCGCAACAATACTACTGGCTAGATTGTTTCTTTCTAACTAAATTCAACGCGCCTTTCTTACGTTCCACACAATATTTATAAGGTTATTTTCACTTCTTGTACTTTACCGAATTTCTTTCTCGCTAAACCTCATTTATACAATGTAAAACCTCGTTTAAACGAGAAACAACAAGGATATGAAGTATGGGAAATGTTCAGTTTTTCACCACTTCAGTAATTATGACGAAATGAAGCCAAATACTTTAACAGAATAAAAAGAAATGTTATTATTTGGAAACAAAAAGTGTTATTTCCAAAGTAAAATAGGTAAGCTTTCCGGTTTTTGATAATATAAGAAGAGGGGAGTTGAACGACGGACGGGCAAACATTTAATATTGCAAATTTAATTTATTTTCAAAATAATAATTCATTGCATTAAAAAGGCGCTTTATTTTACATTCTATACATCCAATTCTTAATGTAACAAAAAATAGTAATTGATTTCGGTCAATACTATGCTCAAGTAGATTAGTTCTGGCCAGTGTTAACCTTAAATGAGGCCTATATACATATACACACACACACATATATATATAAATGTATATATATCTTATATATGTATTTCAGCTTTCAGAAAAATAAGCGAATTGAAAAGTTCTATTTTCTTTGATATTATATAAAATTGGAACAAATAAAAAATTTCCATCACCCAATCAAGCCGTCTCAAAACTTTTTTCTAAGTGGTTTCCTCGTAATCAAGTTTCAATTCTTTATGTTTTAGTAAACAGCTTGAATCTCGTGCGTGAGACTATACTTATAGATAAAGTAAAAAAATGTATATATAACATATCCTATATATATATTTGTGACTACAAATAAACTTTGACTTTTAACTTGGCAGATGAAATGTTACAATCATAACTGTGTCATATATTAGTAAAGAATTCTGTATGTTACACAATTACTAAACGTGAAGCGTTTTGATAATAATTTTCAGTTACTTTATTCTACCGAATTTCTTTAAACAAAAAACTTTATCGTTAAACTTCATTTTAAATAATCTAAAACTCATTTAAATAAGAAACATATTTGTGTCTAATAAACTGTTATAACCTTGCGACTATTTAAATTTTCCGTATGCAAACAGATAAGAAAAAAGCAACAGCTGAATTTTCGGTTTATAAATATTGCCACAAGATGGCGATAGGCATACGGCAAGATTTGCTGACTAACATCATTGAGCACGGTAGAATTCTAAGTACACTGACCTGTTTTTTCTTTGATTTCACAAAGAACACCGAAGAGAGCAGGTTTCATACGATGGCAGTTCAGCGTATGTTTTCTGTAAAATAGACATAAAGGGGAAATTAAGATCTCAAATTTTACAGGCTTTCCAAAAAGTAGTCACGCTAGGCCTAAGTTTTAACCACCACGCGGACAAGAGCGAGGCAAAGAGTCGGTTGACTTAGCTACTAGTAGCGGAAAACTCCGCGAACATACCTCGCTTGAGCTTCGTCGAGACTTTGGTCTGTGATGTTCATGATCTGTTGAAGTATTTCTGATATATCGTGTTTACGAACTTCTTGATCCAGTGCATGTGGTTGGTTTGTAGGATCCATGCCGTAAGTGTGTTGGGATATTACATGACCTTCCATAGTAACCGTGGGATGCTGTGAAACGGGGTGCATCATTGTTTGCTGATCGTCCATACTTCAACACCACCCTCGCCAAACAGACACAACGGCGTGGCTGTCCGCCTAGCGAAGGTCATACACTGTCTCCAGCATAAGCGTTTTACTAGAGAACAGGCGTAATATTATCCTCTAAAACTATGAGTTTCACTCGCGTTTTGGTAAACCAACTAGAACTGAATATTTTGATTGGAATATTTTTTGACCACCAGCTAGAGGTTTCCGAGTGGGCTGTACTATAATGCCACTCAAGACTCTTCACCATAAAAGATGAGCGTCTATTATGACGAAAATAACGTCACATCTCGACTCTAACCAATCAGAGTCCAACTCTAAAGTTACACTTCAGCCGCAGATGGCTGTCAATCACTTTACTAAGGGTGAGAAACCCTGTAGAATAACTCCGCCCCAAAAAATGATTAATAACAAAAAATTTATTGCGTTTTACTTCTTCACGTGCGTATTGTTTCTAAATGAAATAGTGGCCAATTAAAATTGACCGTAATACACATACTAGAAGCCGGCCCTGCGTATACTAGTAATTCTTCTATAATATACCCTTTTAGGTTGAGGATCTAAAGTAAAAAGGATTGTAGTTTGAGAACTGTTCTTTTTACTCTGCAATAGAAAATTTGTTTTGTTCTGTATTCCTTCAAGTGTATCGTCTTACTTTAAATTACGGTATGCATAAAATATGAAATTCAATGAAACTAGTTCCAATTACGTCTATGATACATTAAACTTATGTCTTCGGTTCTCAAATCTAACCCATTAAATTAATAATTTACAATTAGACATTATTTTAGTGTATATATATTATTTAAATGAAGATAGTTAATGTTATGTAGTATTTTTTCAAAAAAGAAAATAGGGTAATTAGCTTACATCCTAATTTTCAAAAGTAACAGGGTAATATTTCTTTTCTTCAAGTACATTTAACTGGCATGAAATTAAAAAGAATATAAAAAGTTATGAAGAGTGCCATCTGTTGGAAAAGTTAAACAAGCTGATTGTCATAAATCAGGTTAGTGGGTATGGGAGAGGGAATTAAAAAGTAAGCTGTGACAGTTTTTTTTTTTTATTGTTAAATATTTTCGGGATAGGAGTATCTTGGCTTATTGATAATTTTACAGTTTTTGTATCAAAGAAAACTCATATAACTGTAGGTTACTTTTTACTAATATTTTTATTAGCTGAGAGACAATAAAATTAAAAAGAGCTCTGCTCGATAACCGTTTATCACTAGTTTAAATAACAAACGTAGTATTACTAATACAGTACGCTTGTACTACTCAATAAATGTTATTAAGAAGTAAAGTACGCTAGTACTAGTATGAACTTATGAGGTTGTAACCACATAATATTGTTGTTAGTAAGCTAGGCCTAATGGTAATATTAATATTGCGGTGTTGAAACTATAGCCTTTACATCAATAGGCCTTGTTTAGTTGTTATATCAGCGGAATATTTAAAATTAAATATAGTATTTATGTACATTTACACAAATTACTTGCTTTTGAAATTTGAGGTATGGAATATAACATTTCATGTTTCAAATAATAACCACAAGTTGAAGTTATTATTTGAAATGAGAAAACTGAAATTATAAATGTTTTAGTATAACCAACTAAAACGTTACTTTTTACTAAGCTGTAAGTTATAGTTATATAATTGATTAATTTATAAGTACCTACAATGAGTACTAACTCTAAAGTGTAATATTTCCAATAATAATATTAGTATAACTTATACGCCCCATCCTGTTTCATTGCCAACATATTTGTGTTTGATTTAACTTCCAAATTCAACAGCTTTAAAACAACGTGTTGCAGTTAAATATTCAAGGCTTAGAATTAGACCAACACCAGTAACATACAGTAAGTAACACTAGCTCCTCAAGCATTGCAACTGCAAGTGTTATTATTTCTGTCAATTGTCAAATTTTTGTTTTACCCTTTTAACATATATCCACTATTGTATCTTCAGTAACTAGTAAGCCTACATTTTGTATTAGAGAACAGTATGTCCCTAGAGCCTAGAATATTTTTATTTTAAGACCAAGTTATTAAGTTATGAGCTATAGACTATTCCTGGGTTTTAGCATTATAATAAATAAAGTTTAAAAGTGAAGTGATTACATACTGTACTGTGTAACTGGTAAAGTTTATTTAAACTTAGCGTACAAGTTTAACGTTCGACCTATTTGTTTTAGAGAATAGGATAGCATTGTACTTGAGGATTTAGTTAACAACTGAATCTCCATTGTTTTGTATTATTACATTATTTTGTCATAAAAATTGAAGTTATGGTTGCTAAAGAAAGTGATTTAATATAAACACAGAGGTGTCTCTCCAAAAAGTATGGTTTCATAGAACATTATAATACAGTATTTTGATATCAGTCATTAGTATACGGAAAACTCAATCAAAATAATTTAAAATATCTTAGACTTTGCAATGAAAATTTATTCAATAGTTGACTCAAAACTATAATACACAACATAGGTTACTAAAGAAATGAAGGCTTAACTTGAATCAAGCTTACTTTGTGTATGAGAATAAAAATATTTTCAGTTACTTTAATGATAACATATGAACAACTAGGGACCACGTGGTCCTTCAAAACTGTCCTCGAACACCTACTGATTTTCAAGAAATTATCAATTTCCACTTTTAAACTCCCATAAAATGTTTTCTTCAATTACTGGTGATAACTTTCCTAAAGTTTGAAAATTAAAACTATCTTAATCTTGTCTTATCATCTTCAGAATATAGCACACAAAAATCAGAGGACTTTTCCCTATAAATCTCCTGGATGTTCGTGTAAACTTTAATAATAGCACCTTATAACCAACTCCGTATTGAAGAAGGAACATTGACTGAAATTACAAATTTACTCGACGTATATATACGAAACATGGTGAGCTTTTTGGTAAAATTTACAAGTCTGTTGTACACAAAAAATTAAATGTGATACAGAAATATTAATACTCAAGATATACCAATCTAACCTAGGCTCTCCCTGTGATACAGAAATATTTATACTCAGGATATACCAATCTAACCTAGGCTCTCCCTGTGATACAGAAATATTTATACTCAGGATATACCAATCTGACTTAGGCTCTCCCTGTGATACAGAAATATTTATACTCAAGATATACCAATCTAACCTAGGCTCTCCCTGTGATACAGAAATATTTATACTCAAGATATACCAATCTAACCTAGGCTCTCCCTGTGATACAGAAATATTTATACTCAGGATATACCAATCTGTCTTAGGCTCTCCCTAGTTGGAGTGCAAGGTGATGTTTATGTGAAGAATAAAAATACTTTAGCCCATTTTACAATTTCCAGAACCTCTGAAATGCATATTTTATTCAATATCCGTGTATATCATATCTAGTACTTATTCTCGTCTCTCACACTCTCACTAAATCAGTGATGTGGGGGTGAAATGAATAGCTCTGACACCAGATGAATAATACCATGTTGACTAGCATTCTATGAAAGATCACACATAGGACTCCATCCATGCACATAAGGTTAATTTCTGTGATAACCCTTAATACCATGTTGACTAGCATTCTATGAAAGATCACACATAGGACTCCATCCATGCACATAAGGTTAATTTCTGTGATAACCCTTTCACTTTTGAAATCATCTTAGTAGTCTTCCTCAGAATGCTTATATTCTTGATAAGGAGATCAAACTGTACACTAGTGAGGCCTAACTAGCGATATGTAAAAGTAGAGAGAGAATTCCCTCAAGACTTATAATCAGTAATATGTCTTAAGTGTCTCACCTACTTAAGCTAAGATCCTTCTAGACTTATAATCAGTAATATGTCTTAAGTGTCTCACCTACTTAAGCGAAGATCCTTCTAGACTTGTAATCAGTAATATGGCTTAAGTGTCTCACCTACTTAAGCTAAGATCCTTCTAGACTTATAATCAGTAATATGATTTAAGTGTCTAATCTACTTAAGCTAAGATCCTTCTAGACTTATAATCAGTAATATGATTTAAGTGTCTAATCTACTTAAGCTAGACTTATAATCAGTAATATGGTTTAAGTGTCTCACCTACTTAAGCTAAGATCCTTCTAGACTTATAATCAGTAATATGGTTTAAGTGTCTCACCTACTTAAGATAAGATCCTTCTAGACTTATAATCAGTAATATGGTTTAAGTGTCTCACCTACTTAAGCTAAGATCCTTCTAGACTTATAATCAATAATATGGTTTAAGTGTCTAATCTATTTAAGCTAAGATCCTTCTAGACTTATAATCAGTAATATGGTTTAAGTGTCTAATCTATTTAAGCTAAGATCCTTCTAGACTTATAATCAATAATATGGTTTAAGTGTCTAATCTATTTAAGCTAAGATCCTTCTAGACTTATAATCAATAATATGGTTTAAGTGTCTAATCTATTTAAGCTAAGAACCTTCTAGACTTATAATCAGTAATATGGTTTAAGTGTCTCACCTACTTAAGCTAAGATCCTTCTAGACTTATAATCAGTAATATGGCTTAAGTGTCTCCTTTTCTTCAGTCACTGTTTGGAGTTGATTCTCATGTATATTAAATGCATGATCCAAATTATCATAACCTGAATACACTGGCATAATTACAGGACATTTGTCAAATATTTGACCAACCTACCAATTGATCCATGTCATTTATGATTCTGTAATACCTCAACATCCTCAGTATAGCTTGAAATACCCAAGAGATTAATGCTATCAGCAAACTTTTTTTTAATAATTATTCCCATTTAAATATTGTTAATATAAATGAGAAAGAGCAAAGACACAGGATACTCCGAGACACTCCGTGAGTAAGAAATGTCCGGTTTGATAAACATAGTCTTTCCCAAAACCCTTACCAAGGTATTTTTCTTAACAACACTCATCCAGATAATGTACAAGTAGAACAATATTTCCTTTTGTTAAATCTATTTTCGGTTTTCTGTCTGTAATTTACTAAAGTCAGTTTTGTTTTCTTCTTTATTCAGTTGTGTGTTGTTCAGCTTTTCTGTGCAAAAAGAAAACCTAAGATAATTCTGTATGTTGATTTAATATAACACATTTCAACAACTGAGAATGTTGACCTAAATGTAAGCAACAATAATTTAAACAACTCACTTTAGTTTCTTGACAAAAAGTCAATGATATCCGCAGATTAGTAGTTTGTAACCATGTCTCTTACGAGACAATAACATAATATTCACAGATAAGCACCATGTAACCATGTCTCTAACGAGACAATAACATAATAT